ATCTTATAGCTAGTTATTCATATCTGTCTCATTGTCTATGAGGCATTGATATTTCGTCATCTACAAATGTTTGGCCTTAATATCATTGTATAAGTAGATCCCTGATTTTCATAAAATTTTGAGGATTTGAATATTCAACATATATACCGTGATATATGGTATCAACAAATTTAATTTTAATTTTTACTAAAGGGAAAGAGAGGGTAAGGAGGAATCTAGAGGAATGTTGGAAAGGGCTCAGTTATTTTAACTCTAATAGATATTTTTGTTTGTTTTTCCCATATGATAATACTGCGCCACTAGTATTACAAATCCTATTACAGAAGTAAATGGTTCAGTTAATGTGTGTCATTTTTATTTGAACAAGGTGTATTTTAGCCTTGTTAAATAATTTTTTGACCTCTAATTACTTTTTTAGAACACAACAGAAAATATAATTTTTTTACAAAATTAGATCTCTAATTTTATAATTACTTGCAGCTATTTAAGTTTATATGATAAAGGGAGAAATAATTGTGATGGGGGAAAATAAGGTGGATTACATTGGTCCACTTAAAAACGGGGTAGTTGGACCATTTAAACTAATTATCAGTATAATTCTATAGATATTTTATAGAATTATACAATTATGTACTTTTAATAAAAATTGTTCAAATTTATATACATATATATCTATATTTTTTTTCAAAATAGAAAATTCTTTTAAATATTCTATTTAAAAAAATTTGATTTGCACAAATCTGAAATGAAGAATAACAAAATTGAAAAAAATAAAAGCTAATTAACATTTCATAAAAAGTACTTAAAAATCTCTAAATTTTTCTTGTCTAAAGTTATGCATTTTATTAATTTTATTAACACTACTCTAAACTAATATTATTATTCTTAATAAAATTTGTCACAAATGTTACTTCACTTTTTGTTAAACTAGAATAAATTTAAAATATAGTTCTGAAGATGATGAGGCAAATGAAGCAAAATATTTTGTATAATTCTGTAAGCATTTTAAGCAAAATATTTTGTATAATTCTGTAATCCATTTTTGTATTCCTACAATCTAAATAATCAATAAAAATTTGTGTGAAGAACTTTTGTACTATTAAATATTCATTTTTGATGATCTGTTTATCAAAATAATCTTTCATAATAACTTTGTTCAATTTAGTATAATCTTTTATTATAACTTTGTTCAATTTAGTATAATCTTTCATAATAACTTTGTTCAATTTAGTATAATCTTTCAAATAATGATTTTTCTTACCCATAGTGATCCTGAAAAGGAATTAGTTTCTGAGAATGTAACAGAGGAAACCGACATTGAAAATAAGTCTCCTGATGCTTTGGTAATGATTTTATAATTTATTTATTAAAATGTTTTCATTAAAATTTTTATTTATTGAAGTTTTAACATTTAAATACAGTGAATTCGCGATAACTCGAATCTGATAGGACTGACGAAAAACTTCGACATATCGGAAGTTCGATTTACCGTTAGTTTCGGTTTTGGACTTTCAAAATATTGTCGGATTATTTAATTAATGCTTATTAATTATAAATCTTCTAAATGCTTACAATATTTAAGATCATTTTTCTGACAAGCCATTTACGATAAGACTGTTTGAAGCACTTTATGATACCCTGGTCCATCGGCTGCAACTTTGCTGTTGTGTTTGGCGGGAGAAACTGCAAGTTTACTGCTTTCAAATTAGGTAGATCACTATGCGCTGTGCATTTATCCATAAAGAGTATCACTTTTCTTTTTTTAGCGAAGAATTTCCGATCCAATTTTCTTACATAGTCTTCAAATAAAACTGATGTCATCCAAAACTTTTTGTTAGACTTGTAATCCAAAGGATACGTTTTTACATTCTTGAAACATCGGGGATTTCGGTATTTTCCGATAACAAGTAAGGGCAATTTCTCTGTCCCAGACGCATTTCCTCCAACTAGGACAGTCAAACGTTCCTTGCTCATTTTACCCCCTGAGTAGTTTTCATCCTTAAACATCCTAGTCTTATTTGGAAGACATTTAAAAAGTAAACCCATTTCATCAATATTGAAAACATCATTTTTAATTGTATCCTTTAAGTAAATTTGGTAACGTTTCGTTTAACCATTGTTCACATACTTCAAGAGGGACAACTTTAGCTTCTCCATGAAGAGTGCGAAAAACATCGTGTGTGTGTTGCAAAGGAAGGGGCAAGATATCAGCTCCTAGGTTGTTTTTTTTTTCTGCTTTAAAAGATCCAAAAAAAATCGAGTTAAAGGGAGTAAAATTCGAGTAATCGAGAACAATTAACGTGAAATTGAAGATAAAAGGGTCGGGACCTCATAAAAAAATCGAGTTATAGTAATATTCGAGTTATCGTACTTCGAGTTATAGCGAATTGACTGTATTGTTGAATTAGTTCCTTGAAATTTTGATTGTATTCCAAGTTTTATATATTATCCTACTTTGTCTCATAGGAGCAGGACATGTGATTTTTTTGTGCTTTTTGTTGAATGTCTTGTGCATCAAGACCATTGGTTTGCAGACTTCCGCAAATCAAACTTATAATCCAATAAAATTTTCAGAGAATTCTGCAATTTAAATTTTCAAACCTTTTGCTAAATCTTGTTAATAAGATGTGTACATATATATGATTTTTCCACTAACAGTTTAAAATTTCCTAATTTGATTGTTATGGTTTGGCGGGTTTTCTCTATTTTGAATATTTAGAATTGCGCCGGAATCCACTACTATGGCAATTTACATTCACACAATTTTAATTTTGAATATTGATTTTCATATTTAACTAAAAATGTATTTTTTAAAACCAATATTGTCATTCCTATTCACATGCTTGTAATATCAAATATCAATTTTTATATTTATGTGTGTGTGATTTAAGAGCTATGCATTGTGATTTGTATTGACACAATCTAAAAATTGTGTTACGCAATTTGTATTCACGCAAATTAAAAATCCTACATCACAATTCGTATAAATGTTTACTTTATATTATCTTTCAGAGTTTGATATATTGTCGAAACAAACAACGAGTATTGGATTCCATCTGATGAGTGTAAATAAAGTTCATGTTATTTCCCTTTTAGTTTGCCTTTTTAGGCTAATATGGGTATCAACCACCACCATCAGATGCCTCAGTGTTTCTTCATTCCCCCCCCCCTCGTTTTCATCAGCTTTAAAGCTTTAACATTGTTTGTTTGCCACATTCAGTTTACATTATGTCATTTCTGGTTAGCGCACTATGGCCAATTTAATCTCTTGCAGTAAAACTCTACATTGAGTCCCATTCACTGCATGTTATGCTTTAAATTAATTATTTCAGATTTTGTTGTGTGCTTATTAAATATTAGGTATTTATTAAACACGGAATTACTGTGTTGACAACTTACAGTTTTACTATTCTTTCTTAGAATTCTTAATTTTGTACATGGACTATGCCAAAACATTTGTTGGTCTGAACTTTTTCTTTTAATATTTAGTATTCAAATATGGGTTTTATGTGAGCATTTATTCGTAAAAAAAAAAATTGAAGCTAAGTTGAGAACTACAATAAAAAGATAAAATATAGATAAAATTGGTAATTTGATATTTAGTTTATTATTTTTACTAATGATAATATTTATTGACTATTGAACAATGAAAAATATGAGGAACATGTCAAACTGAATTAATTCTTGTAAGTTTTTGAAAACACATTAAATAATTGATCTCGTTGTGATATTTAATATTGTACCAAATAATTATATATTTTTTTTATCAAATATTCAGTTTTCTGTTTCGTTCAGGGCAGTGATGGGTCATAACTTTAAAATTTTTTTTAAACATCTATTTTTGATGTTAGAAACTTTTTTTTGTGCTTGCAACTGTATTAAATACCGTATATGTTCTTAATGCAACATGTTATACAATATGTGAAATATTGTATATTAAATACCTTACATATTAAATTTTATATAAAAAAATATTCAAAACTTGATTCAAATATTAATTGTCTTTTTAATTACAAGTAATTATAGATATTCACTGAGCACCAACTTCTGTTTTTAATAATTTCAATATTTTAAACTTGTTGATATAATGACGTTTCGAACAAATGTTACAGAATATGAAATGTGTTTTTAAATGCTACTCTAAATAAATATTTTTTAAATTATTTAAAAATTGTTATTTATATAGATTAAAAAAAAACATTAATTAAAAGTTTAAGTGCTTAAAATTTGATATGTAGCAAAGTCTCTTCTTTCAGAAAACTTGCATATAATTTCATATGATATTTTATTTAGATGTTATTTGTGAACAATTTTTTTTTCTTATTCTTTTTTTTAATTGGAGCAGAAATAATATTTAATTATGTATAGTGCAAAAGTTTTAATTTATGCCTGCTTATTTAAAAAAAAAAACTTTTTATTAAACTTGATAAGAATATATTTCATACATACAACTGTATAACAGAAAATAAGAAAATTGATGACTAAAATCAATAATTATTAGTGTTTTTATGGTTTAATTTTAGTATGTATTCCTTAAACTGAATTGTGTGTTTTAAATAAAAAATAGAAGTTTTATTTTATTTATTAGAATCCTCCTAGTGAAACAGATGATGTGTCTGAAGTAAGAACATATACAGATTCTAGTACGTTTTTGAAGGTAAGTGTTAATGCAATATTTTCTGTATTATTATTACTGTAGGTTTTAATGTTTTCTTTTAATGTTAATTTTCTTTTAATATTAGAGATATGAAAAGAAATATTTTGTTCGTTGAATGTAATTTAATAGTTCTAAAGTTACAGGCAATGATTCTTGGTTTCTAATTCATTTTCGCCTTTGAAACGGAAATGCATCTATGAATATGGATTTACAATCATAAATTTATCTTATTTAAAGAAAATGTTATATTTTTAATTGTATTGTCATAATTCTTGTTTCATATCAAAATATTTCTTTGTATCTATAAATGTGTAATACAATTTTCTTCCTTGTTTATTATTTTGAAATATATTATTATAATATTTTTTATTTGAAGGGCTTTTTTATGATTTGTAAGGCTTAATATATAGGTTCAGGTTTATTATTTTACTTTAGGCACAGTTTTTTGGTTGTGTAATATATATTTTTAAAAAATAATTTTAAAATTTGTTTTTGTTATAAAACGTGCTGTTTTTTTTAGATAAAAATAAATACATAAAAGATAAATTTAACTCATCAACAGTAACACACGTAACAGAATACAAAATTTTTGCATTTATATTAGCTAAATTTTAATTTAATTTCTTTTTTTAAAAAATGAGATAGCAAAAACACGATATAACTAAGTAAAAGCAAATAAAACTAACATTGGTGTATATACATGAGTATTTATGCCTATATTATAGTTACTTCAATTGTTTGAGAGATTTTGCTATTTTATTTAATCTATACTTTTAGGGTACACAAAGTGCCAATCCACACAATGACTACTGTCAACATTTTGTTGATACTGGACAAAGGCCACAAAATTTCATCAGAGATGTTGGTATGTCGAAATTTAAATTTTTTTTAATTGAATTAATTCTTATTTGTCCTGTTCATATTTCTATGTTAACATATAAATTGCTTATTTTTAAAAAAAATTTTACATTAATAAATTTTTTAAGCAATTTTTTTTTGTTTTGTTTTAGGCTTGGCAGATAGATTTGAAGAGTATCCTAAACTTAAGGAGCTTATTAGATTAAAAGATGATCTTATTGCCAAAACTGCAACACCACCAATGTAATCTTTTTATGCCTGATCATTCAATTACAGAAATGCATTTTTTTAAACAAAAAATTTTATGATTTAATTGTGTAATAATTATTATTTTGAAACAACAAATTAATTAAACACTGAGTGGCCAAATTATTATGACCACCCGTTCAGTACGCTGTTGGGCCACCTTTTGCGCGTATTACTGCCTTAATTCATCTGGGCATGGATTCTATGAGATGTTGGTAGGTGGTAGAAGGTATGCCAGACCATGCTCGCTGAACTGAACTTGCCAATTCCTGCAAATTTGATGGTACTGGATCCATCTGTCTGAGCGCCCGTTCAATTTCATCCCACAAAATCTCAATTGGATTGAGATTTAGGGATTGTGCTGGCCAACGAAGCAAGTTAAATTCTCCATCATGCTCTTCGAACCATCTGAGGACAATGCCAGCTTTATGACAAGGAGCGTTGTCCTGCTGGAAGTATCCATCCCCGCCAGAGTACACCATTGACATAAACGGATGTACTTAATCTGAGAGCGTTGTGGTACAGGAATTAAAGGACCCATACAATACCAAGAGAACATTCCCCATACCATAACGTTGCCACCACCAGCTTGAAGTGTCGTGGCAATGCAGTTGGGGTAAATAATTTCGTGCTGTTTTATCCATATTTTCATCCTGCCATCTGCGCGATGCATTTGAAACCGTGATTCATTGGACCACATGACCCTCTTCCAGTCATCTACTGTCCAATGTTTTTGCTCCTTTGCAAATTGGAGACGTCTGCGCTTATTTAAAGTAGACAGTAGAGGCTTACGAACAGGTCGTCTGCTTCCTTACTCTATACGGCGCAATGTGAGTCAAACAGTCCGTTCAGAGACGTTCACAGTTGCTCCTTGATTAAGATCACTTGCAATTTGTCGCACTGTTGCTCTCCTGTTGCGCTGCACAACCCTGACCAGCCTTCTCTCTGATCGAGCATTCAGTACACTGTGACGACCACAAGTCTGACGTTGAGACCCGGTTTCTTGCTTGATTGTCCATTCATTGTACACATAAACAACTGCTGCTCTAGAACACTTCACAAGAGCAGCCGTTTTGCTGATACTGGTTCCGACACTTCTCGCACCCACAATCATTCCACGTTGAAATTCAGTTAAATCACTTTTTTTCCCATATCTGAGCAAGCAACACAATATAACTGAGGACTCACTTGTCCAGCATTCCCGTGTTATAGTTATCTTGCCCTCTAACGGCAGCGCTGTGACGCAATAGCTCATTTGCATAAAACTCTGAGGTGGTCATAATAATTTGGCCACTCAGTGTATGTCCATAATAAGTACTACTCAATCTTTAACTGTTCAATAAGTTCATTTCAAATTACACTAGGTAAAATCTTTTATAATTTGTTAATGCAAAATTATCATATTTTTTATTAGAACTAAACATTTATTGAAAAGTTATAACGATTCAATTTTTAAGTAAAATTATCTGTAGGTGTAAAATTAATGATGGTAAAACTGTAGACTAAATTAAATAATGGTAAATAACTGTAGACTAATTTTTAAATAATGGTAAAACTGTAGACTAAATAAAATTATTTTGACTTATTAGCTTGTAACTGTTGAGAAGCAGTGAAAAGTTAATATTGATTTAATGATGCTTTATTATCAAAAGAGATTAAATGTCAATGGAGATTAAATACAAATGTATTTGTATTTAATATCTATTGACATTATTTAATCTTTATTATTATTCCAAGAGTTCTTTCAAAGTGTACAATATTGTTAAAAATCATATATTAAATGTAACTTATTTTTATATAATGAAATTAGTTTTGATTGCCTTGAATTTCAATATGCAAGTATTGGGAGTAGCAGGGTTCTAATGAATTTTCAATTTATTTATTATTCATCTCCTATTTTTTTAAATTAAGATTTTTTTTTATTTGTAGGTATCTGAAGTGTGATCTTGAAAATTTTGACTTTCGTGAACTTAATTGTAAGTTTGATGTAATTTTAGTAGAAGCACCTCTTGAAGAATATCAAAGAACTTATGGAATGACAAATATGAAATTTTGGACTTGGGAAGAAGTATGTATTGAAGTTTGTCCTTTTCCCTAAATAATATTTATTTAAATTGTATAGTGCCCAAATCTTACTTTTCTCTAAATCTTACTTTTGTATATATATATATTATTATTTGTATATATACAGTATGGGACCCCTAATCCGGCATCCGGAAATCCGGCAGGACCCAAAATTCGGCACTTAATCCAACCTATTTTTTTTTTCTAAAGAAATTTTTATTGATATGAGAAAAAAAAAGTCAGTCATATTCTCTTTTTATTTGGAATTTTTTCTCTTGAAGTAAGTAACTATATTTTATCTTTTAAAAAGAAAAAAAAGCATGAAAAAAAATCTGTGTCAAACAAAACATCTGTTTCTAAAGCAGTTTAAAATAAAGTTAAATTGAAAAGTAAAAACATCTGCATTTCCAATTAACAAAATAAAGAAATGCAAGTTGGAAGAAACTGATTAATCAATCTTGACAGCTGTGCAAGTGCTTTACTGGTTTGCCCCCACATTTGCCTCTCCTGTTTGACCATAAATTGGCCACACCCTGTTGACATTGAAACTACCAAGTGGTGTACAAAATGAATTCTATCCCTTTTGCTTTTTGTTTATTAGATTTATTTATCTTTTTATTTGTTATTAACTGTTACTTTTTTTAATTGCTAACTTTTTTTTTTATCCTCCTGAGTTGTTTGCTTCTTTTTTGTAGTTCTTCATTGTTAGTTTCTTAGCATTAATTGTTACTTTTTTACAGTTCCTTGTTAGCTTTCTTTCTTTTTTTTTTTTTTTTTTTTTTTTTTTTTTTTTTTTTGCAAGGTGAGCGTCTTTTGTTAAAACAAAATGTTATGTAGAGAAAAAATGAGAACAGTGATCTCGCCTCAGAAGAAAAAACGATTATTTCTTTTTTGGAGGATTCGGATTATTTCATCTTGAATTATTTCTTCTTTGGGTTATTTCTCCTTGAATATATTATATAGATTATTATTTTTATTAATGAAATTTCTTAAGATGGGACAGTTTTAAACTCACCCCATCATAATCTACAATCGGAACTTAGCTAAATTTACTGGTTTTTCTGAAATTAACAGCATAATTGAATTATCGTAATATATGGGCGCCATATAGGAATTTCTGGAAGAGATCCGAAATTTGGCAAATTCCAAAGTACGGAATTCCGTCGGTCCCGTGAGTGCCGAATTTCGGGTCCTATACTGTATATATATTTGCATGAAGTTACTTTACAATTTTAAAAGTGCTTTAAAGTAATGCAATATAGTACTTAGAGTCGTGGCGGCTCAGGGGATAGAGCATTCGCTTTCCAATGAGGTGAACCAGGTTCAAATCCCACTATTGGCTGTTCCATTCAAATTCTACACCCGGCTTGCTCGGACCACAGTTCTGACGTAAAATATCCTCAGTGGTAGACGGGTCATGGATTAGAATTCTCTTGTTATCTTCTGATTAAAAAAAAAACTTAGTTCTGAGGAAATATTAGGAACCGAGAATTTTCTGCACTCCTGCTTATATGTAGATAAATATTTCCAATGAATCATGAATATGATATATTCCCTGATAAGTAAACTAATTATGATTTACAAAAACCGTAAATGTTTGTTTAAATGAGTTAATAATTTATTAAATTAATCAATTCAAGGGTTTATTTAAGTTACTATCAATATTTACTATAGTTAATAGAGTAAATTTCCTAATTACATATTATGTTATAATATATATATTAACTATTATGTTATAATAGTTAAGTAGGTCAACTTTCTAGTCTATACAGCTGAGCATCAATCGGAAGAACTGTTTCAAATTTCGGTTTTATTCATACAAAACTAAAAAATGAACTTGGAGTACAGACGGCTTCAGAACTATTTTTTGTAATCGCTATTTTGTAAACTATTTTGTTGTTTAGAGGAGAAGGTGTAAAAATGGGCACAGGTGTAAATATGGGCACCCCTCCTTAGTAGCTATGGGAGGTACTGAAGACTGGCGGCAAGGACTGTATATGGCGCCAGTTGCTAATATAAGATTGTACAGAGCAGTTGAAACCATTTTTTCAAGTAGTGTGGATGCAGCGTGAGTTATTGTGCAAATTGGTGCTTATTCTGGACTGCAAACTTTTGAGAGGTATTTGAAATCGTTTTCTTTTCAAGTACTTATGTTCAGTTAAAAATAATTTGACAGTATCCGGAAAGCGGAGATTTTAAGCTATTTTTTGAAGCACATGACATTTTTTTCTGGCATGAACATTTTTTTTCTGGCATGACAGTTAGAACCGTCAGTTGTCAAAAAATTGCCAACCCTGCCTAATTATGATATTTTTTAAAGTTCTTAAAATATTTTTTAAATGCTTCAAAAGTGCTTAAAAGGTGCTTATTTTTTGTTGAAAAATTTTGCTACGTACCTTGCAAGGTTAAAAAAGTATATTTTATCACAGAATTCAAACTACATGTTTTTACCAAGATTCTAACTAACTGAGTTATGATTGCAAGAAACATATTGCAAATTTACATGTTTGATGAGGGCTGACATCTATCTTAAAATAGACTAACTATCTCTAAACACATTACAATTAGTCTGGTAATGCCATCTGGTGTATAGATTGTTTCAGTCTTTTTTGGCACATAACTTTTGAACACTCTGGCCTGTAAATGCATACCCGGTAACAACCCCGGAATTTCCGGAGCATCTCCGGAAATTCCAGTGTACTCCGGGCACTCCGCAAAGATATACATTTTACCCGGAAAATAAACCCAGTAGCTAATTTTCACATTTTTCTTAAGATGACGTCACGTAATCCTATTCCCCGCCCCTTTCNTTTACCGTCCGAACGAATTGTGCTTCAGTTATAGCTAGCTGCAGCGTATTTTTTAACAGCTACAACTATTGCCAAACGTCAGGGAGATCTCTCTTATCGGTCTTGTACAGATAGTTAACAAAAGGAGTAGACTTCCCCGATCGGTCGGCGAAGTGTTTACGTGCAAAGATTGCGACTGCTATGTCACGAACAGTTCAAATGCGTTGGAGATTCATAGATATTGCCTACACTATAGGACGATCAAAATCAAGTATACTTAATTACCAATTGTCAACGTATAAATTTTAAAACAGGTTTACTCGAATTATTTAAAATCTGAACCTTTATAAACTCAGAGCTATAAAAAAAAATTTAAAACTCGTATAGTCCAATCGTATTGATAAAAAAGAATAGTAAATTTAGATTCATTAAAACATGATTACATATAACACAAATACATTATCTAAATTACAACAGCTTATGCTTTAAGTTACGTACCGACAAACTTAAAGTCAATCCCAAATTCAACAGAAGTGCAATGAAAAGTTGCCAGCAAGCCATAATTATTCTGTTCAATTTCGTTGAAATGTAAAGTTATTCAAATGATATATTTTTGAGCTGAGTTCTCAGCACGTACCGAATAAAAAAATTGTTAAGTGATGGTTAATGAAGTAAATCATACATCATCTTCCACATAGATAACAGTTTTCAAATAATTGGGAAAAACCATTAAAAAAATAATAATCTATTTCATTTAACTCAAATAAAATCAAATAGTGAAAATAATTATAAATTCGCTTGTTCATCTTTTTAATAAATGTTTGAAGGTTGAAAAAATTATCGCAGTGAATCAGCTGGATCTAGTGTGCGACATCTGATATTCTTTAATAGATTCAATTAATGAATTACTTGAGTTTTATAATAGAGAAATAATTTAAATTTTATTATTTTTTGTGATTCGTCATGTTAATAATAAAAATGTACTCTCATATGTTTGGAATAATAATTGCAGACGATAAAATAATGAATTTTTTTATGCGTCTTCCTGTCGATTCGGGAGCAAACAATAACACTTGCTGCTACAAACAGAAATCTAATATTTTCTAAGATTCATTATTGTATTTCATTCTTTATTAGAGGAGAAGGTGTAAAAATGGGCACAGGTGTAAGTATGGGCACCCCTCCCTAGTAGCTATGGGAGGTACTGAAGACTGGCGGTAAGGACTGTATATGGCGCCAGTTGCTGATATAAGATTGTACAGAGCAGTTGAAACCATTTTTTCAAGTAGTGTGGATGCAGCGTGAGTTATTGTGCAAATTGGTGTTTATTCTGGACTGCAAACTTTTGAGAGGTATGTGAAATCGTTTTCTTTTCATGTACTTATGTTCAGTTAAAAATAATTTGACAGTGATATCCGGAAAGCGGAGATCTTAAGCTATTTTTTGAAGCACACCTTTAGTCACGCACGCTTTTAGGTTAGTTGTGATAGTGGCCATCCTTCTTAGGTGGGATTGGTGTAAATATGCGCCCCCATTTAAAGGGTGCCCATAATTACACCAACTTTTTTTAGTGGAGTTTAGCACATCAGGCTCTAGTTATGCCAACTGATAAGGCAGCTGAAATACCTCAATGTTCCCCGGGAACTTCAAGTGCAATTTCTCCGTTCGACATATCTCCTATTCCCAACATTAAGAAGATAACCACTACTCGTGGACGCAAAGCAGCAAGGTCCAGCCCCATCACCGGATTACCATACAAGGATCAGATGACCAAGACGCTTGACAAGTGCTCTCAAGAAGACGTCCTTGAGTTTTCCCGGAGTAAGAGACCCGCAAGAGGGCAGGGTGGGAAGACGAAAGGCCTTCAAAAAAAGAAAATTCGGCCCACGCAACGATACGATTCATCATCGGACTCATCAGACTCGATGACCCTACTCTTATCTACAGCGATGATGATACGAATCTAATAAATGTCAACGGTGGGGATAAACCAGACTCAAGCGATGCAACTTGCAGTTTTTGTGATGGAAAGTTCTCTGAAGACACTCGAGGAGAGGTGTGGGTAAGATGCGTTATGTGCCAAATGTGGGCACTGTGCCGGGGGTGAAAGAGCCAGTTATGTTTGCGATTTATGTAAATAATTTTTTTTCCTGTAATAAATAAATTCTCTACCATTTTGTATTGTTTTATCCTGTTTTTAAACTATTTTTGGCGGCTTTTTTAAAGAGGGCCCATATTTACACCCCATTTTTTCTGGTGCTTTTTTAAAAGATTTTTGAAAATCATCGTTTTCGAAATGAAATAATTGATGTTATTCATTGTTTTGCCTTCTCGCATTTAGGAAACTTGTTATAGTTGTTAATGAAAGATAAAAATCTAGAAATTTTCAAATTGAAAGTAACTTTATCCAAAAAACAAAAGAGGGTGCCCATATTTACACCTTTTCCTCTATGNATTTTCAATATTTTTCTATTAATTATACCCTTCTAAAGTAATGTATCTTTAAATTTATGCACAAAAATATGAATAAATTTGTTCCGAGTTACACTCCTGAAAAGACTCCCAAAACTCCTGATGTTTTTAATAATATCTCCTGAAATCCTTTTTACAAAGTTACCAGGTCTGTAAATGTCACGGGCATGAAAAATACAGTGTGAAACTGCATCCCGTCATTTTGACTCGAGAGAGAAGAAAAGGGTTTAAAAAAATTCATGTATTATATGCGGTTTTAAACTTACTCATATAAATATTGTAAAAGCATACTCATACAAATATTTTCATATAAATTATATTTGAAATCACATAATCTTTAAACTTATATTTAAATATTTAAACTCTCAGAATATTATCTTATAAATAATATTTAAAACTCATATAAATATTCAAAAACATGGAGAATTGAATTTATGTTCTATTTGTACAACTAATAATAACACATTCAGAGAAATCTGACTTTTCAAAACCCGCCTTGGCCTGCTTTTTTTTTATATGAATTTACAGTGTTCCAAGGAAATTTTATCTAATAATATATTTTCTATTTCATTGTCTAGTAACATTAGAGAAAAAGTCAGATTTTTTTGCAAACTCTTTTCCCTCATCTTGAAACAGGAATGAGTTAAACTGAGTTCTGAACTGTGGAATTTTTTATAAAATTTTCTTTGAACACTTCAGACCATTTCTTCATAAGCTCAGCAATTATTTTGTTTCATTGTTTAAATTTTTACACAGATATATTTCAATATTCAACTATGCTAAATATGAAGTTAGATGCTGATTATGCTATATATTTGCTTGCAGATTATGAAGTTAGAAATCGAAGAAGTTGCTGCTCCTAGGTCTTTTATTTTCCTGTGGTGTGGTTCATCTGATGGGTTAGATTTGGGACGACAAGTAAGTTTTGTTTTGTAATGCCATTTCGTTTTGGTAGAAATGAATTTCTATGTAAAATTATGCCCCTTCTCAGTATTTATTAATCTGTAGTTGTTGTGTAGAATATGTAGATAGATTTATTAAATAATGAAATACAATAATTATTACTAATATCTTAGAAATAGTCTAGATTTTCTTGATTAGCAGAACAATATGAAACTATATACAGTCAGACTTCTATTTAATGAACTTCCATTTTGCGAATTTCTCTATTTTGCGAATTTTTTCGAGGAACCAAGGACATTTTGGAAATTTCTTCGTAAAATAACTTCCAAGTAGCAAAGTGAATTTTCTATTTAATGAATTTTTCTTTGAGATCCTCTTTCCTTATTTCCCACTTCCCTATTTAACTTCCACTTTCCCTATTTAAAATCACTTGGCAGTTATAATTTTATGCAGCAAATAAATACAGTCAAAATTTTATGCATACATTTAGCTGTTTTTAGCTGAAAATGTATTGTAACACTGTATGTAACATGATAGTGTAACACTGGATAATGTTTTGCTCTTTTCTTGCTTTCAATGCAGCATTCTTTTATGGCTAAGATTTATAAAATAAATGGTAGAAACTACTTTAAAAGATAAAGGTGTATCAGTTGCTTTTTTAATTATGTCTAGTGTTTATGAATTTAAAACCTGTTTTGTGTTATTTAAGCATTTTAGAAGACAATTTTCTATTTAAAGAATTTTCCATATAACGAAATTATTATCGGGATTTAGCAACTTCGTTAAATAGAGGTTCGACTATATATAAGTTTTTTAAAGTAAATTTATTATGCATTTTGAATTTGTTACTTTTTTGTATTATTAAATAAATAAAAAAAAAATAACATTCCAATTAGGTTACCTTTCTAGTAAAAATAGCTTTCTTTTAAATAAATAAAACCATTTTATTTAACATAAATGCTTTATTTGTTTTATCGCTTTGTACAAATTATGTTTTTAAATTTCATGATTATAGTTTGTAACCTTTATGACAAGAACAGAACTAAAAGCTGTATTGTTTTAAATAAGCTGTATTTGCAGCAAATAAATACAGTCAAAATAGGCATTTATATAAAACAAATAATGGGGGGATATGAAATTGAATATTGCAAACTTGTCTTTTAACTTTTGTATTAGCATTTTTCTCCTTAGTATCTTCAATTCTTTTCTTTTGAGTACTTTTTTATTGCCCTCACTTTATTTTTATTTATTTTTTTACTTAATACTATTTTCCATAAAATGTTTTGAAAATAGTGCCTCCTGTGGATGTAAATGTCTATTTGGTTTTTTCTAGTAAAATCTGTAAACAAAATTACAAAAAAAAAAAGAGTATTCAGTTTCTCAGTTTTCATTCAGTTCAATTTTTTCTTGATCATTGTTGTCTTGAATTAAATGTTCATTCATTTCCAGTACTGTTTCAAGTTAATCAAGTTTTATTGTAGTATATCCAGGGGTTGTACAAAATTATGGAAATACTTCTATGGTAACACATTTTTCATATTTTTTCAGAAATGCTTAAAATATAACTTCTTAGAAGGGTTTATGTCATTACTTTTGTCATTCATGTGATTTCTCATACAAATCAATAAAGTTTAAAGCTTTCAGAGGTTTATGGGGCGGGCAATAAGAAAGTAACAAAATAAAGAGTATTTTTGAACACACTATGCAAAAAAATGTAACAATAAGCTTGTATATTATATTAAAAACTTTATTTGTCATATGCAATAATGGCACAAAATTTCGTAAACCTAGCTTAGATATTCAGGGATATGCAGAATTTTTTTTTAGAACCTCTTTTTTTTTTTTTTTTTGCCTTATGTTTTCTTAATATAAGTGCATTATGTTTTCTTAATATAAGTAAAAATATTCAATAAAATTTTTAGAATAATTTTTAACTAAAAGTAAAAACATTTTAAAATTTGAAAAAGATTCGTTAAAAATTGCACAAGATATGAACATTTAAAGTAATCCTTACTGCACACGTGGGGAAAACATTTAAAAAATTATTTTCAAAATTTTGTTTTGAGTCATATTTGGTAACTTGAGGAAAAAAATCCAATTTGAAAATCTAAGAAATTTAGGTAGGTTCTAACCATTTTCTAAGAAGAAGTTTTCATAAATTTGGAGAAAAAACTGATTGGTAAGGAATTTTCCTCGAATTTTATTTTTTACTATTCAACAAGATTTATTCAAAATGTCATCAATATTATATAGAACCATCCCCTATTAAAGCATGTTTTATTTCGCATGTTTCCTTTTCTTATACCATCACATTTTTTTTTCTTAGTAATTATTTTAGGGTATTATCATTTGTTATTAAATTTTGTTATATGACACAAAATGAAATTTGTGTGAAGCCTTTTATTTAGAGCTTTATTTTTTTTTCCTTTTAAAAAAAATACAAAGCCTACTTAAAAAATTCTTAGAAACTTTTTACATTTTCAAGATATTCAAGTGTTATTTCATAAGTTACCAAATACAATTAAGAGCAAAATTAATGCATGGAAAAAAATTTCCAATGTGTCCCACGCATGTGCTGTGTGAAATAACTACTTTAAATGCTCATATATTGAGGAATTTTGAAAGAATTTTTTTCTCCATATTTTGAAATTTTATTTTTGTTATTAATTAAAAATTACACCAGAAATTTTGTTTAATTTAATTGAATATTTCTACAATTATAGTAAGCTAAATTGCTAAATTTAGGAAATTTTGTGCAATTTATTATTGTATATAATGACCAAAGTAATTAAATAATTAACCCAAGGGCATAGGGTGTTCAAAAACATTCTTGTTCATAATTTATTGCCGGTTTCCAAGCCACTGAAAGCTTTATGTATGAGAAATCTCATGACCTAAGCATTTCTAAAGTTATAAAATTATTCACTACATATTTCTTGAGAACTATAAAAAATGAGTTAATTTAGAAGTGTTTTTGTTATTTTGCTTAATGTATGTTGGGAAAATACATATTTTATTCTTTGAATAAGTTTAAAAGAATTTTATGATCTCTTTCCGAAGAATTTATCTGTTTTATTTTGATATTAAAGAGTTCGTTCAAATCAATGACCATATTTTAAATATTTATGTTTTTGTGCCTATTGTACTTATTACAGTAAGTAAATCACAAAATTAAAGAAACGTATAAAAAAAATTTCCGGATGCAAACATTCAATGTGTGATTCTTTTGTTATAAGACAAGCATTTCATGTGTAATCAAGCTCGTTTCATACTGTCAATGGTTTCCAAAGCTGCATAAATGGGGATTCAAAAACTCTCGTCTTAGAACATGCAGGTAACTGAGGTTTACCTTAACTGTGGTAAACCTCCAAGGCAGAATGCATTTGGAAACATTGACATTGTGAAACTACAAAAAGCAGTGCACGGACTTATTATTACAGATTAGATGTTTTTACACGTTGAACCCTGTCACTGAAAACAAAATTAAATATTTTTATTAATTTCTGTTTTCAGTTATCGTAGAATGTGTAATAGTTTCAAAAATAGAAATATTTAAAACCCAATCATTAATTTGTGCTACTCTTGTTCAATAAACTATGAGTAGATACTTAAAAGAGGTAATTTTTTAAACCATTTCATTGAATATTAGCATACTAATAGTTATTTAGCCATCTAATTTCATGGATTGTCATCAGTTTATTGTAGTTACATTTTACTTGATTAAGTTCCCTTATTATTTTTAAATCAAAAAAATGTAAATATTGTTTTCTGTTTTTTTTTTTTTTTTTTTTTTTTTTTTAAAATATTTTTGTAGTGTTTAAGGAAGTGGGGTTTTCGTAGATGTGAAGATATCTGCTGGATTAAAACTAATATAAATAATCCTGGCCATTCGAAGAATTTGGAGCCTCGAGCTATATTTCAGAGAACTAAAGTATGCATTTAAATTTTTTTGCTTTAGCTTGCTTTGTAAAATTGATTATGTTTTTCAATAACTTTAATTTATTAGTAATTCTTTTAGCAATTGCGTATAAGTTGAAGTATGAATGTTTAAGTATGAATTGTTTATTGTGTTTTCTTTATTTTGGTCTTTGTTTTATTTTTCTTACTAGTGGAATTTTTTTTTAAAATTTTATTTTAATATTAATTTTGAAAAGACTTTTAAGAAAATCATTATTTATTGTAATACAATATATGTTCTTTAGTACGACCCTTCATTGGAGAGTCTTTTTTATTATAGCAACTCATGTATTAAGTCTTGTTTATTATTACACAGGCACTATGTTGTTTTTATCCCTGTTGCAGAATTTTTTCAGTCTTTCAGGAATTTTTTCCCTAGCACTAATATTTTGCTTCATGATACATCTAATTATAACAATTACTAATTTAAAGTAAGAGAAACATTGTGTAAGAAATTATAGAATAAAAATGTATAAAATTTTTTTATGCAATGTTTATATTAAAAAAATTGATGTGGTTCTTTTTTTAGCATTTTTCGGATTATCCACAAATTTGCTCGTCCGCGCTTCGTGAGCCACTTAATTTTGCAGATAATATGGAGTTTAGTATATTTCTTAGCATCAAACATCATATTTATTAAATTTGTTAACGTTTTTATTTCGTTTTATTTTATATTAAAAAAGAAACTTTTTTTTAAAAGTTGTGTTTTTTATTTTTAAATTCTTTTTTCTTACAAAAAATTAAGAAAATATTAGTGTATGTAATTCAGTTATTATCAATAATTGCTGTTTAATATTTTTAATAAATGGATTAATTAAAGGATGTAAGTGCCTTGGCTTGTTTATCTTACTGTAATGTTTTTATTATTTTTTTATGGTTAAGTGCCACTGCCTGGTATATTCTGATTTTTTTTAAAAGTTAAGTCTTACTGCCCAAGACTTGTTTTTTTTTAAAGGTTAAGTGTCATAGCCCTATACTGTTTTTCTTTAAAGTGCTCAAATCGCAAATTAAAGTACACATTAAATTAAAGTGAAATTTGTGTTTAATAAAAAACAGTCTTGTCAACTCTGTAGCATTTTGTAACAAATTTTAAAAAAACTTTTTTTTTCTATTTTATTCTTTTACAAGGTTATAAACTAGTATCTGAAACGAATATTGCATTTTGCAATTGGAATTATCAATTTTAAAGAACTGTAAAAATATTTATATAGTTTATAATTATATTCAGGGATAAGTTTTCTTCTGCTTTTCTACGGAATTGTGTTTTTTATTTATTTATTTATTTTTTAAAAATTTTATTTTATTGTTTTTTTTTATGAATTTAATAAAAAGAAATATAAACCCTTTTTAAAAAGGGTCATTTTTTTGAACCCCTGAAAAAAAAAAAATTATTAAAAATTTACGCCAATTAAAAACGTAAAGCTTTTTTCTACTTATGTAAATGTGATTCAAAATCACAAATCAAGATTTGTATTTTCACGATTTATAAATACCCATCATTTGTATTTACATGATCTAAAATTATGCATGGTTATCTGTATTCACATGATTTAAAATGACGTGGAGATTCATATTAACGTGATTTTAAAATCTTTCTCCAAGGTTTTTATTTCCAAGATTTGGTTTAAAAAGCACACAACAAATTTTGCAATCATACATAAAAAATTCGTGCATGGCTATTTTTAATTGAATTGTTGATAATATTCTGTGGATGCTTTCTACTTAGACTTTTTTTCTTCTTGAAATTTCAGATGTTTTTCAAATATTTAAGATTGTTTTTGCACAGAACATTTTTGGGTTCTCTTTTTCAGCTTTTTTTATTTCCCCCCCCCCCAAATTTATCCCTGTAACCTTCAAAATACGCATTTACTCGCAATAAAATGGATGTGTTTTTATTCCTTTTTTGCACAAAAAAATAACCCCTGAAGGTTAAACATAGCTGGTTAACAAATGGAAGATGTCCTTACAGAGCCACATCTTCCATAACACATAACAGGTTTCCATGATGCTTGTAGTTAACTTGGCAATCTACCCTCATAACATCGCCGAAAATCTTGGTGGCCATATTTACAAAGGTAGCTAAACTAAAATCTTTCCTATTGCATTGTGAGAGCAAGTTCTGGCAGGTTATATAATCTCTTACAGTTATGACCATTTGTTTTCTAACTCTCTTAATACATGTATATTTTTTGCAAAGTATGTATGTGCTAAGGTGTTATAAAATATAAAAATGATTATTTTACTGTAAAATTTCTTTTACTTTAAAAACATACGAAATTATTTTTTTAGGAACATTGCCTGATGGGCATTAAGGGTACCGTAAGAAGAAGTACTGATGGCGATTTCATACACGCCAACATAGATATTGACCTCATAATCTCTGAAGAACCTGAATATGGAAGTATTGCTAAGCCTGAAGAAATTTTCCACATCATTGAACACTTTTGCTTGGGTAGAAGACGTCTACACGTGTTCGGGCGTGACGTAACCGTTCGACCCGGATGGCTGAGTATCGGACCTGCGTTGACGAACAGCAATTTCAATGCTGAAACGTACAGTTCGTATTTCAACAAATCACCCGAAGACTATCTTACTGGCTGTACTGAAAGAATTGAAGCTCTTCGTCCTAAATCACCTCCCCCAAAATCTAAAGGAGGAGGTGGTCCTGGTGCATCTAATAGGGGAGGAAATTCTCGAGGTAATTCACGAGGTAGGATTGGGAATCGCGGAAGAGGAGCTCATAGGGGACGGCAGTAATTTAATTCATAGAACAAATTCATGTTTTTTTTTAAAAAAAAATATTGATTATAATCGTCTACAGTCATCTGTACTAACAGTTATCTGTATTCAAGTATCTACATTAATGTTTTTAATGGAATATTAATGATAAGCATCTGCATGGATGTATACCAACTCCTTGATAAATTTGATTTAATAAAAAACACAAAGTTTTTTGCATGGTTGGTGCAGTACTAGATTTATAAAGACTTGTAATGTAGTTGTCTATGAGTTATTTTTTACCCATATTATCTTAAATAAAATGTATTTTAATTAAGATTTATTTTTAATGTATTTTTGAATGATTTTTACTTATATCAACTAAAATAAAATGTATTTTATTCATTTTGATATAAATTAGTCCTACTCTGTATTTATCTTTTAACCAAGACATTTGAGTGAAACATTTAGGTACAGAGTAGTTTTAATTATAGAATAAGCGTCATGTTTTAAATGAATTTTAAAATATTTTGTCACAGAAATACTTGACTATTAGTCAAGGAGACTATTACTTGACTATTAGTCAAGTACTTCTATAATTTGAAAATCACACAGTGCAGTCCATATTTGTGTGATTTTAAAAATCATGCATCGTGATCCACATTTGAGTGAGTTATAAAATCACATCATGATCGATATTCGTGATCGACCGATATTCGTGATCGACCGATATTCGTGATCGATATTCATGATCGATATTAAAAGTCACGCATCGCGATTTGTATTACATGATTTAAAAATCACACATCGAGATCTGTATTCGTGCATTTTAAAAATCATACATCGTGATCCACATTTGTGCAATTTAAAAATGACATATTGTGATCCGCATTCGTGCAATTCAAAAATCACGCATCGTAATCTGTATTTGCGTGATTTAATAATCACACATTGTGATTTGCATTGGAATGATTTAAAAATCACTTATCGTGATAAAAATCACCCAGTGTGAGTCCTAATGAGACTATTTGTATTAAAAAAATAGTTGTGACTTTGCAAATGTGTAAAATAACTTTTAAATCGTCCATGGTATCTTATTTTTTCCGGTAAAATTTTATCTGAAATGAAATATTTTTTAGCTCCCATTTTAAGAAAATTTTTTTATTGCAAAGTGTGCAGCACGGTTTAAAAAAGTACCATACATTCAGTTCATAAAAAAATAGGTACTGCAATTCAAATTCGTGAAATAGATTTTTTAGAAGTCCATTAAGTGTTGCATTGACATTTGATTTTTATCTAAATGATAACATTTTTGACTGCAATATTCAGAAATAACCTAATAATAATGCAAGGTTTTTGTCACCTACGATGGAAGCATAAACTATTTTATCTCTTGAAATGAAGGTTTCACAGTGCGAATTTCTAAACTAAATTTCTAAAGTATCCTTCTGTCCCGCAGTGGACTGATTGTTAAGACACGGTTCCGAGCAGATCACCAAAGTTAAGTATCACTGGCTCCGGTCAGTGTGCGGGTGGGTGACGACTTGGATCAGTCTGCATAGGGACCGAGGGTGTGCGGTATTGATCCTCGTTAAACTGTTCTACCGTAAAGTGCTCGACTTCGCGTGCAGGTCGTTGGGATACCGAAGCGGGGGTGCCATTCCCTCTGCGGAGGATCAAAATTGTAATGGCATGTTTTCGGATCATCCTCGGGGATGTTTCCCAGACCATCACCAATAGCCCATTGTGCAGCTCTAGTGCGACGTAAATGAACTACAACAAGTTTCTGTAACTTTTTATCGAAATGAAAGCTTATTTTGAGTTCCAGGTTTGACGAAGTTCCTATGTACCCAAAGGCAAACTGTACTGAGTCATTTTGAATAGAGGCACACATAGTAGTTTAGCTATTAATACTGTAAAAATATAGGTGCAAATTGGTAAAATGAATATTTTAATCATTCATACTAAGGTTCAATTTAAGCCTCTTTTTCTCTAAAAGGAAAAATTTATGACAGTTATTTTTGGAAAAAAGTTACAAATCAAATGCAAGGTGTACAGCACCGTATTTTGAAAAGTGATACTGGTGGAAAATATTTATGTCCTTACAATATTGATTTCACTTTGTAAAGTCATAAAATAAATTGTCCATTAAATAAATAAAATTTCAGTTACTCTTTTTTATTACTAAAATTAAGGAATTTCAATGAGCATTTTTGAAAAATAACTCAGTGTATGGCACCATGCTAAAAGTGATGCACGACACATGGAAAGTTTGTAAAATTAATTTCTACAGTGTTCAATTTATTTTGCAAATTTCTGTCACCTTTTCCCTAGAATGGAAACTGTAACGTCAGTTTCGGTTCAAAAACACTTCTACAACGTTTTGAACTACTCATTTTGGAAGAAGTATATGATGTTTGTTCAAAGAGAAAACTATTTATGTTGTGAAAAACAGTTTTTGCAGAACAAATTCATGAAATAAATTTCTCAAATACCCATTGAGTTCTTATAGTTTCGGTCATTTTCTTTTCCAATATGAAATCTTTTTAACTAGCATATTTGGAAAAGTTATAATTCCAATGCAAAGTGTATGTACAATTTTAAAGACTTATGCTCATAAATAATAAATGTATCAAAATTTTCTGAAATTTATTTCTGCAGTCTGTTGTGTAGTTTAGAGAAATAAGTTTTTAATTTTTTTATTCTATAGAGTTACAATTTTGGTGATTTTTTCACAAAATTGAAAACTGATTTTGACTTTCCTTAATGGAAAAAGTCACAATTCAGATGATTGAACAGTGACACAGGTAGATGCTATTTATGCTTTTAAAAGAAAATATAGATTCTGCGTCTCTTATTTTTGAAATAAATTGTCTCGTGTCCTTCTAAACGTTATTAAGTCACTCTTTCACGAAAATAACAAAAAATATTTATCTGACATTTTTGAAAAAAAGTTATGATTTAAATGTCAAATGTCTTTCTTTAGAGAGTGACACTCGTATAAACTACAAAATTTAATATAAGTTTTATATTATGTTTCATGGCGCAACTTTGTGTAGTAAAGTAACACCTCCTAGAACAGTGGTCGGCAAACTTATTAGCCAAAGAGCCAAATATGAACATTACAACAATTTTTAAAAAAATTGGGAGCCAAATCTGCTTGTTTAGTAAACTTTTATTACACTAAATAAGTAGTACACTAAATGAAACTAAATTTCATACTTAATAAATATTTATTAATGCGAACAATGTGCTTGCATCTCCTTGGAAAGTTTGAGTAAGTCAGGTTTGTATGTTGTTGTTTTTAATTTTAGGCATGATTCCAAGTTCTCATCAATAAGACGACTTCTCAGTTTACTCTTGATAATGTTCATGCTTGAAAAAGATTGTTCGCATATATATGTAGAACCGAAAAGGGAAAGAACAGCAAACGCGAGCTTTTTCAGCTGATCGTAAGAGTCAGGAATACTATTCCAAGCGTTGAAAATGATCATGTCTTCCTTCTCCAGGTCATTCAAAGCAGACCACTTGTGTTGTGATCTAAGATCAAATTTTTTCTTCTCCAATATTTCCAATTCAACACAAAGACGTTCGAATTTAGAGCGCCATATCTCCTTGTTTTTTTTAAATCCAACAATTGTATTTCAAAGCTACCAATGTCAATTTCAAAAGGAGAAAATTTCAGCTCGGTTATCGTAGCATTAAGAGGATTTTTGACAAATGCTGAAGTTGCTCTGCTGTTTTTAAATTCCTGAAACCTACTGAAAAATGCTTCCCTCATTTTTAAAATGATGTTTATCAATAGAGGAATTATTTCCTTGGCGATGCTTCAGCAGGCTCGAAGGCTTACCTTGTTTTTTTTTTAAATGAAAATATTATTGCGCCTTCCGTGGATATTTGTGCCAGAGCCGCACTTAAGGAGCCAAAGAGCAACATGCGGCTCTGGAGCCGCACTTTGCCGACCACTGTCCTAGAAGAAACAAGACCTTACCGCGAATCGTCCGACGTAACGAACATAAACAGCACAGTGGATGAAAAATAGAAAGATGTCATTACGTTTTCACAACTAAAGGATCAAATTTCTTGTTTATGGTAACCCGTGCTGAGGCCTTCTCTCTATTGAATAAAGTCAAAATTTTCATTGCATTCCTACAAAATCGGTTAGTTTATCATCGATATGAAAATTGTTTTTGCCTGTCCTTTTTGGAAAAAGAATTAAAATAGAAAAGCATTCAACTTTTCAAAGAATAAAAATAAATTTTTGAAATAGTTACTACTCAAACGACGAAATGCGCGGTATCTTTTTAATGAGTGACACACGTCGAAACTTTATGTCCGAAAAAATATTGGTTCCGTGGTGCGAATGTTTTTATTTTATTTTATAACCGTCTTTGAGCAGCCGACCCAATTTTTGAGTTTACGACTACGAATGTTCAGCTCTGTAGCCTTGTAATTTTGAACCCAATCCAGAAGACAAGGGAATTCCTGGATCAAGTATTGGAAGAAATTTGCCTCCGTGGAGGACTTTTTTGATTGAACTAACCCGCATTTGCGTTACATGGAGAGGAAGACCACGAGAACCTCCCACGGTTCGCCTGACGGTAAGAGGACTCTAGCCCATGATCCGTCTACCACTGAGGATATTTCACGTCAGCACTGTGGTCGGTAAAAGCCAGATACGGAATTCGTATCAACCAGCCATCGCCGAGATTCGAACTCGGTTCACCTCATTGGAAGGCGAACGCTCTCACCCCTGAGCCATTTTTTAACTATCTTTTGAAAGAATTAAAAATCAAATACGAAATATATGACACTATTTTAAAGAATGTCACGCCATAACTTTTTATGTCATGATAATAAATACTTTCTACGGCTAATACCTCTTCATTAGTACATCTTATATGTTTTTATTTGTCGTAGTTAAAAAAAATTATATTCATTTTCAGCAGTATTGTGGAAATAGAAAATTTTGTTAGAAACTGAATTAAAATTAATAATCTTAATTATTTATTTAATTTTTTTAATAAAAATTTTGAATGATACAAAAAATTTAAAATAATAAACTTACAGTACACTTTATACTCGAAAGATGGCGCACTATTACTTTCAAGATTATCTGCTTTTTCTAATGGGGCATCTCATTTTCTAGCAATGTTTCGTGATTAGATTTCTCAATCGAAACGTTTGTTTCTTAGTTCCTTAAAAATTGTTATTCTTAAAAATGAGTTATGGAGCGTCTGTGTCTCCCAACGAAAAATATAGTTAGTTCGTCGTTTCACTGATTAAAGAAGTTAAAACTGCCAGAAAACTTACATTTTTGTTTTTAATTAATTCAAGAAACTT